AATTCCACGCCCTCTGCACGTCACCGACATCGGAAGATGGTTTAAGACCACGATTCCGGCAGTAACTCAACAATGGCGATACACTGGAAGTCTGTACAACTTGTCGCAAGAGCCGGAGACTATCACTCGAATCGGCGAAAAAAGGGTGCAATGTCAGTCCAATACGGGAGTCGCGGCAACCGAGACAGCGCAGCGAGAAAACCTTTCCACGTCGTGGCGGCCAGAGAGCCTGGCCCGACAAGCGTTCCAACTGACGCACAGCCTCAGTGAGGCTATGTGTGAGTTGCCGCAGAGTAGTGGGCTCAAGGAGTAAAGGATCAGCTTCTTGCACAGTTGAAGACGGCTCCGCCAAACCACTAGGCGGGCACTGTCCGGTGACAATGACGAAGTGAACCAAGAGCTCGACATAGGTGGCGCCACCCTGCGCTCGCCCACAAGGTAAATGTACAGACCACTCGAGACTACGCAGCCAGGACCACAATGGAATCGTGAAGTCCGGCTGCCAGCTACAGGCCAGAATCCATTCCCTCTGGTATTCAGAAATGTTCCAGGAAACGTGTGGGCCGACATTCAGATCAACCCAGGCAGAATCATTGTTGCAGGAGGGCATCAACGGTGCATTCGGCTCAACCGGTTTCCCACAGAGCTTGATCAGACGGGCCTCCTCAAGCGAGAGTTGCAACAAATACTTCCAAAAAGAATGCAGCAGATGGCGCTGCGCCTTCACGAAGGCGTCGGCTGTAGCGGAGGCCTCAAGCACGCAATCAAGGTCACGCTGAACGGCGGCCTTGGCTGCAACGTCGGCTGCACTGTTGCCAGCCGCAATCCATTGGTCCAGTCCCACTAACTTAGTGAGATCCTGGTGGGACGCTACTTTGCGAAGCCGAACCCTGGTGGCTCTGTAGCGCTGCAAGTGGTCGGCGAGGTCAGGCCAAGTGCCCGGGGCATTGCTACAGGCCTTATCCCATTCAGAAATGGCAAAGCTACTGTCCGTCCAAATCTCAGCTTCGGGGGAGCCACAAAGATGTATGAGCCTTAAGGCTTGAATGACAGCGCACACTTCAGCCCGGTTAATGCTCTGGAGGCCGGGGACCAGGCCTTGGTGCACTATGCGAAATTCAGTTGGGGGCTGGTTCGTAGCCCGCCAATTCGCCAGTAAGGATGGTACAATGGCATCCGAAGCACTTGTGTCAAGCACTACAGCAAAGCCGGCATGGGAGGCATCGGGCACCTCAGGGTGGCTGCAAGAGCCGTCAGTGAAAAACCGTAGGAAACTCCTGGCCTCCAGCAGTGGCGCACACGGCACTTCCATGTTTGGTGGCAGCAGCGAACGCGTCGCAAAAATCAGTCGGTTGACTTCGAGCCCTTGCGGTGCAGCCGCGAAGGGAGCATGGATCCACTCCGGTCGGTCCTTAGCAACGGCTGCAACTGTCTCATGAAAAGCCGTGCGTACGTGCTGCAGTTTGGGGCAGTTCAGAAATTTGTGCTCCTTGGTCTGCCGGGCACCACACAGAGGACATGCCCCGGGACAATCTGGGTCCCGCAGCTGTTTTGCAGCCGCGGACGAGAAGGCGCCTGTAACATGGCGGGCGATGACCATCTGCTCCTGGGCCGAAAATTTGGACAGCAATCTCCCAGTCTCGCCAGCATGGGGCGGCGGTGCCAGTTCTAGGCCATTGCGGTGCGAAACCTGGCCCTGAACATGGAGCGCCCAGGTACGATTGAGGAGGAGGCGAATCTCTCGCCGATGGCAGCAGGTCAGGTCGACCCAGGTATTGTCCAGTCCTTTGAGGACCCCAGCACTTGTCAGAGTGAGGCCAAGGCGGTCAATAGCCTGTCGCAGGGCTGTAGCAGGGCCTTGGCAGCTTTTGGGGGCACCGGCAGTGGCGACTGCAAGCACGGAAATGGCAAGATCCGGGTCAGAGAGGCAGGTGCGTCGCAGGAGCTGCAGTTGTTGCTCGAGGCAGTACACCTGGGGGTCCACGCAGACCGGAGAAAGAGCGGCAAGGGCAAGAAAAGGCGACAACACCTTGTGCTGACCGACGATAGTTCTGGCGGCATGGCTGCGGAGGCGGTGGAGCTCCGCAAGTTGGAACGAATGGCCTTCAGCACCGTAAAGGCACGCCGGCCAGACGCCCCGCTGAATCATGGAGGCCTTCAACACAGGACTTCGTGGTTGCTGGCGAAGTCGCTCCAGCCTATCAATGCCATCCTGCAGCCGGGAGCCACGTGAGGCAGCATGTGCACAACCGTCAAACTTGAAAGCAACTCCAAGATCCCGGACTTCGGAGACAGCGGGGACCTGCGTGTTGGCAGGAAAAACGCTGGCAGAGGCAGCCTTCCACCATTTGCGCCCGGCCGCGGTGGTAGCCCATGTATAAGACTTCTTCCAGTCTATTGGCAGAGCAAGGGACTGCAGAAGGTCCAGCGCCTTCGGAATGGCAAGCTCGATGGCCCGGCAGCTGGTGCTGGACCAGCCCCAGTTATCAACGTAGGTATCAAACGCAACGCCATCGACCTGGCAAGAGGAGGCTGCAAAGGCACAAATCACAGCCAACGCCGCAACACTAACCGGGTCACCTTCTGGAGCACCATTGTAGCAGGGGACACCCTCAGAGAGATCCCCTAAGAAGCTGCTGTGGCGTCGCAGACCTTTCAAACAGTCAAGCCAGAAGTCAACTACCTCAGATGGCATGCCGGACCGGCACAGCAGGAGGCGCAGAGGGGGCCAACCAAGCTGATTGAAACACTTGACAATATCCAGCGAGAAACCGAAACGACCTGTGCCGCTGAGCAGGGCTAGCTCAATCCAGTGTTGCTGCCTGTAGCTGACATCTCGGCTGGAGCGTCCGGGCATCGAGCCGGCAACGGCCTTGGGAAAGACTGGCCCCCAGGAGCGGAGTAGGTTCTTGGTGATGATGGAGGCCCAGAGCCTGTAGAGGGTGCTGAAGATAGTGATGGGCCTGCTCTGCCGGATGTGCTCTGGGCAGAACGCTTTGGCGAGGACGCAGACTCTCGCTTGCAACATGGACTCTGGGAGACCGTAGCGTACCGCTTGGCGGAAGACCAGACTCAGAAGCTCCAATGCTTCATCAGGAAGGAGTTTAAGGTCCGAGGGGGCCCAGCCACATACACCAGTGGCCTTACGATTGGCGAGCTTGCGGACAGCCAGACACCACTGCTCTGGGGTACCTTGGACATTGTCAATGTGTGCCCCAGCAAAGTCAGAAGAGAGGACAGCTTCCCGCAGACGAGGCCACTCATCAATGCTCTCAGCACGCAGGCCCTGGTCACGTTGCCACAGAGGGCCCCAAAAGTCAGCAAAGGCCGAATGAAGCTCAGGGGCAGTACATGCAACATAATCCTGGATGAGCTGGCCATCCGGAGGGAGGCCCGAGCCCTGCAACTCGACCTGTCCTGGTTCAACCTTATGAACCCAACACCTGACCCCATCGAGATCGGCTGGGCCTTCGCGGAAGTGGCCGGGAGCCTGAAGAGTATAAGGCACTGCAACCTGTGAGCTGTCGGGAAGAGGGTTTTTGGCAGCAACCGTAACCTGAGAGCAAACGGTACACGGCACCTCAGTGAAAGGCGGGTTTGGAGCTGAGCGTATGGCACAAAAGCCCTGGCGCGAGCCACCCACTTCAGCGTCAACGCTCACCTGGCTCAGGAAGGTGTCCTTGCGTCTCTTTGCCTCTTGGCGGGCGACACAGTCGCAATCATAACGCACATAGGCCAGGAGATCTTCAAGCCACTCCTGCGGGGGCAGGTCTCTGTAAAACTGGTGGAAGCAGGCAACTTGGAGCGTCCAGTCGGGGAAGCTCGGAGGGTAGCCCTTGGCATTGAGTATGGCCCTCCATTCTGAGACAAGCTGGGCACCGCTTCGCGGGAGAGCGGCAGGGCCGGCAGCCCGCCATTTCACCAGGCCACGCTGGAATGTAATCAACCTTCGCACCTGACGGACCTTAAGGCGGCAGAGGATGGAGGTGACTTCAACATCTGGGTCATACCCTCCCGCCCAATCAGTACGGCACAGGGCGGCAGCTTCCTTTTGTTGAAGAGCACGCGGCTGGCAGCGGCCACGAAAAGCTTTGGGCAAGGAGGCCACTGGCGACTTGATCGGGTCAGCATCGTGCTGACGGTGGAGTGCCTCAGACACTGCATCCTCAGCAGCCTGGGAAAAACTTTGGAGGACAATCCCAACATCTTCCCTGGAAGCACAATTGGCAATCTGGCGGCGTAGAGCAGGCGCCTTGCCACAGAAAGTCAAGGAAAGTTGATCACGCTCAACCCCGAGCTGGGACCACGGTTTCGGAAGTCGCCACACCCTCGTACAAGGCCGTTGCTGGCACAAGTGGAGTTGGAAACACAAAGGGCTGTGGGAATCAAACAGTTGCCTGTCCACAACCCAGGCACGTTTCCAAAGGCGAACAATCGTGGGGTGTAAGATGGCGGTGTCATGCCTGGTGCTACCTTTGCATGTGGCTGGGAGAACTGTGCCAGTAGAGCCTTTGCGCAGGTCAAACACATCTTGATAGCCCTGCGCCTGAAAAGCCTGGCCCGCCGGAAGCTCAAAGGGCCTAACATTGAAGTCGCCAGCAACGATGCAGGGGACCGCACATTGTACAGCACGGTGAAAAGCTTGCTGAAGTAACGCGTTGGTGCGATCGCGGGAGTCTTGTTCAGACTGCGGAACACTATAGATGGTAATCACCCGCACTTCAAGTGCACCCAGGCGAACAAAAGCATCAGTCAGTCTACAGGTGGCAAGAGCCTCCTGCGGCATCGGAGGTCGGGCAGTGCGCGAGGGAAGGCGGGCCGCAAGGGCTACTCCTGCCGCAAGGCCTCGCATGGAAACCGTGTCCGTCTCCCGGCGTGTGTGGGGTTGGACCGCAGCGCCCCAGTGGGCCTTGAAACCGACCTTGCGGAAGGCAGAAGATGTCACTTGCTGCGTGCGCTGGACCGCAGAGGTCTCCGAGAGTGCAATAAAGTCAGCTTTTAAATCCATGAGCGCCGGAACCTTGTGAAGCACACTAGTCGGGTTGACAACGGCGAAAACACAGGTCTGGGCATCTGGCTCGTCAGGAGCCTGGGCACCATCAGGGGCACCGAAAAACTTGTATAAAGACTGCTGCCTGCTCGGGCCGGGGTTGGCAGCCTCGCCAACGCGAACACCACTATACAGCTGAGGTCTCCAAGCGCCGAGTGGCAGAAGAGCGGAAGAAGAGTGGGAAGGGCACACAAGGCCGATGCGTATTTGCAACAGGCAGGCGGGAAAATTGCTGGAGGATGATAAACCATCCTGGAAATCACGGAAGGGACATTGGAGGCTTCGGGCGGCCGTAAGCAGCAAACCCCGTGCTGCAGAAAAGGTAGATTCGGGAACAGGCGCCATGCATTGGCAAAAGAAGATCAGTGGCCCGAGGCATGTGCTCAGGTGAAGCAAAGACGACCCGTCGGTCGGAAACGCATGTTGGCTGCCAGCTTCAAGCCAATGCTGAGCAGTACAAAGACCCAAAACAACCCGAAGTTGTGCATGAACCCCGGCCACTCTCAGAGGAGGGCGTTCGGCTGTTGCGCCCCGAGGCGGGGCCATCCTGTGTCACAGGTCCGCATCACCCTGCTTACGCTTGTTATCATTGGCAGCGAGGATCAAGGCTTTCAATTCAGCCATTCCAGCGGAAATCTGCTGGTCCTGCTGGGCCTGAGCATTAGTGAGACTAGTAGTCCAGGCCTGGAAGTCCTGGCGCAGCCCTGTCCCCAAAAGTTGCACCTCGCTGCGGACAGCACCAATTTCATGTTGCAGCGATGCCTTGTCCCGGGCACGTTCATGATTGGCAGTGGCATGCTCCTCTCGCAGTTGCTGCAGTCCTCGCTCAAGCTCTGTAAGGCGGTGATCCTGCTGATTCAACCTGTTGGCAGAAGGGCCCTCCGCGGGGCCACTTGGGGCGGGCGCAAGTTTCGCGACACCTGCAGGCTGAGAGGCACGATAAACACTCCACGGATCGCTGTGGAGCCAGGGGTCTTCTGCGGTACCTTGGTCCCGGTCAGGCTTTGCAGCACGGGGAACCGGGCCCCCTGCTTGTACAACTGGCATATGCACATCACGACCTTTGACGGCCGTCGCAAGGACTGGCGTCTGGTTGAAGAGCATGGTGTTGGCCGGCGGCGGGTCAGCTGAGCCAAGCAGCCAGAACTGCGGGCCCAAGCTCTTGATCACTTTGGTGGGCCACGTCATTCGCTTGGACCACTCGCGGATGGCATCGGCCGATGCAGCAGCCGGGAAGGGGCCGACCTTGTATGTTACAGTGACCTCAATGCTGTCGGGAATAGCCGCGCCGGGGCGCAGCTGCACGAAAATTTTCCGGAAAGAAGTCGCCGGGACTCGGAGGCCGTACTTATTCCTGCCCTTGAGAAGGCCATGTTGCTCTGGCACAAGGAGAGCCTGTTTTTCGACATCCTGGCGGGACATCTGGAGCCAGATAACTGCCCAGCCTTGCAAAAGCTGGCGGTCCCAAGAACGGGGCACAACATACACCCGGTTGAACCCACTGCTTTGTAGAACAGCACGCAGCTGTCCTTGGGGGACTTTGGCATAGAAGACAAACTGGTCACACAGGTGAGGCTGGCTGGGTTTGCCCGCCGACCGATAGGTGCGCGCCCAGGGGTGGTGCAGTGCATTGTCCACTCCTTTGACCCGGAAGGCTTCCACGACCGAGCGAACCGGTGCAGAGGATGTTTCACGCCACTGGGTTTCTGAGGCAAAGTCCTCCTGGTACATAGTGAAGGAGCAACACACCGTATCCTCGGCATCAACCCTGGTGCCATGCTGAAAATGCGGCGTGATATCAGTTTCCCCGACATTGTGGTAGCAGGCTGCAATGAGGTGCTGGCGGCCTGTACGGCGGTGGCAAACTGGAACACTTGTGCGGCCTGAGCACGTGTCCGGGTCCGGGCACTTGTGCCCTGGTATGATCACACAGAGCGCCTCAGAGCCCATATTGCGTAACAACGCCAAGTCCTGAGCATTAGAAGCCGAGGCATCAACTAGTACCGCACCAGCACAGTCCGCAGTGATTTCATCAAGAACGGCAACAGCTTGGTCATCAATGCCGCACCAAGTTCCTGGCTCAAGGCGGAAGTCAGAGGCCCGCACCGGTGGTTGCTGGCCGAGGCGTTGTTTGCGGACCGCTCGTTGGATCCGGCTGGCAGCAGTCTCGGTGCGATTGTCGCCTTCCGGCAAAGCATGGCCTTTGGCCTGAGCCGCGGTCCTACGGTGCTGCCACTGCGACTTTGTATCAGATTGGCGGAGTGCATGCAGGCAGGCTGCAGTACCAATGGCTGGCACCACTGCATCGACAGCTTCATGTGTCTGAGTCAAGGGCACCCCTCTGTCCAGAAGCAGCGTTGCAATCTTGTTGCGTGCATAAGTGGTGTTTTCATCCTTGACTCCTCCACCCCGGACTTCAGGCATGACAGTAAGGAGCGGCAGCTGGCTCAAGCGCTGGATGTGGCAGCTGTTGTTCTGAAGGAGCTCACCAATCGCAGTTTCAGCCTCCAGGCGCCTGGGGCCGGAGAAAACTCTGCAACCCTGCCACGTGCCGGCAAACTGGCAGGCATCACGCCACAGGTCCGAAACCTGTGATGGTGTTGTGGATGGCGGCAACCTGACATCACCCAGGGACCTGGCATCAACCTGCACCCTGAAAGGACCGATCAGTTGTGCCTTGGGGCTGTCTGCATAGGACCTTAGTTGTGCCAGGAACAGGAGCTCGCGCAAGTACAGGCGGAGAGTCGTGGGCGGCACCAGGGGCCGCTCGGGCTGAAGTAAAAGTTGCATGTCATCATCCTCGGGGGACAGAGGTGCATCGGCCTCGGCAGTCCAGCCCAAACACTCAAGGAGGTGGTACGGCAGCTGCAGCCACCATTGCACAGCATAGGCCTTGGGCACGGTAATGCATAGGCACGGAGTGGCATCCAGGAGCCGACTCGAGCGGACATGGTCATTATCCAGGCACGGGCAGTGGAAATGGATGTCGGCGGCTGAACCGGCAACAAAGGTGATTGGAGGAAAATCCCCAACACAATCCAACCTGGTCCCGTAGCAGGTAAGGCACACAACACTAGGCTGATCAGCAAGGCGACACCTGTCAAAGGCCCACTTAAGTTGATGGAAAATCGTTGGCACGGAGGGCTGCACGATAACTAACCCGGCCGAGGTGCAGAGTTGCAGGGGCGCTCCACATTGTGCCCGGACACAGGGGGTGGCATCAAACCACGGAGGGCCCAGGGCAGCGGTGGTAACCGTGACCTTGTCTTGCATACCATCAGAGGCCTGGCTCCTGGAGATAACAGCGGTGGGCTCCAACTGGAGCGCCTCAAGTAGTGCAGGCTCAGGCACTTGTGAGCAGAAGTGGGCCCGGCGCACAACAACCGGAGGCAGGGAGTCACCCTGGTGGCATTCTATGTACAGCTGATGGAAGGCAACCGTATACCGGCCCATGCGCAGCTCGAGCTCATTTCGGATGGCTTCGTGCTCCAACAATTTACCCAAGTACTGACGGCCGACAAGTAGCCATCCCTGAGGCAAATGAAAAAGGGCGCAGTTGCCAGCATGAAGCCTTGTCTGCACACAGCAATGAACCGCATATGCAGGGTCAACCTTGCCACAGCTCGGGAAGAACTGAGTAGCATGGGCAATCGTTAACAGAGCCTGGGGCACGGCAAGGCTGTTACCGAGGATGCGCATGGATGCAACATCATCATGGAGCAGCAACTGCGCCCGTTGGGCACCATGGCAGCTGGCAATTTCCGGTGCTGCAAAGAATCTCACCTCTCCTTCCAAGGACGCTAAGCTGCACAAAATCCCGCCTCGCTCAAGCATCCTGGGTGGCAGCGTGTGCTGCGTGTGGTAGCACGCCATAAAGCATTTCGCCTGCTGGGCCGGTGTGCTAAGGCGGTAGTGCTTGGCTGCTTCAGGCGAACTCCCATAACCAGGCGGAAGAAACCAAGGGTCTAAGTAAACACCCAGCAACTCCGGACTCAGCTCACATGCAGAACGGAGCTCGCCAGGCAGCTCAGTAAAAATTGCCCGCATACCGCCAAGGCTCGGGCGGCGAAGTGGCTGCCAAGCAGTCTGGCAGAATCTGGCAGTGGCTTCCGGGCGCACTGAAGAATGCACGAATATGAACATGCGTCGGGGCCGTCTTGTGGGAGAAACATCAGACAGCTGAAGCGTGGTCTCATACACCCGGCGGTAGCCTGCATCCTGAAAAGCCAACATCACCTGCTGAAAATCACGATGCTTTGCAAAGCCGACGACTTCCTCCAAGCAGAAAACCGGAGCCCGAACAACCCTCAAAATGGAAGCAACCCGAAGAAGAAGGCGGCCGTCAGGATTGGACAGCCCTCCTTGACTGCCTGCATCACTCCACGGCTGACAGGGCGGGGAGCACACAACAATCTGAGGGGCCGCGATACCCCAAATCTGGTGCCACCACTCATGTTCCAGATTGGCCTGCAACAAGATGGGCCCGTCGCTCGGGTCTAATGCTAGCAATTCCTGGGCAGTCGTGGCAACCTGGAGGTCTGGCATCATGATTCGTAGGGGGGCTTCCACATCGTCCTCAATGTCAAGTAACCATGATGTTTGCAGCTTTAGGCCATGATCTGACAAACACCAAGCAGCTTGTGTCCACCCAGCAAAGCCCCCGCAGAATAGTTCAGCAACCCGTACATTCTCGAAATCCTGCAACACAACATCTCCTGTGATAAAAGCATTACCAACCGTGGCGTCCAGGATAATGATGTCTTGCTGAACCCGAACCTGGGACCAGAGGGCTCGCAAGCGGGAGCACTTGCTGCCCACCAAATTCCAGACTGCATACGGCATTCGGAGTACAGCCTTCTGTGCCGGACAGCTGACCTGGTCAGCTGTGATCCGCTCGGCCTCGATAGTGCCCTCAAGCTGTTGCAAAACCTGCACCCTGATCAGGACGGAGTCTTGTGTTTCAATAGCTGAGCCTTCTGTCTGAAGTTCGAAACAAACACACTGGCCATCCAAAGAATGCAGGGAATCACTCGCAAAACGGAAGAGATTTTTAATCTCAGCCCACCAGGCGGTACTCATGGCTTTTAAGTGCGAACGCGGCACGATCAGCACTCCCTTCCCCGGGAGCAACGACCCTGGCTCTAGTAGCCTCGTGCCAGAGTGGCTATGTGTACTATGGAGGGATATCATAGCTCCATTTGCCACCCTACTGGGCAGCTCCCTACTGTTTCATAATTGAGCCACAAAAGCTGCTCACCATTTGTGCTCTTCTTTGACAACACGCGGCATCACATTTGCTTTGTTGCAACGGTCTACCATTGCTCATGCGTTCTTTTTGGACTCACTTCAGAGACAAACGCTCCAGATTGGCGAAGTCTGTGCGTTCGCATATGATCATTGCCGCCTTGCACATATGTGCTCGCATATCCTTGCCTCTCACTCCGTATGACACTCCCAAATTCTCCCTTGCCATCACGTCCTCCATCAAGCACTCGATCATAGAATTCAGCACGCCAAGGGCGAGTTCATCCATGTTGAGCATGTTCTTCATCAACGGCAATGTTGAGGTGGTTGTGAGATAGCCTTTTATGCTGTGCTCGGGAAAGCACCCTTGCAGTCGACGCACTCTCGCTCTCTTTTCCACGCTGCATTTCCTGACAACGTAGGAAACCACAGCGCTCGAGTTCGTCGCACCCGATGCTTGACACGCCTGCCCCCATGTAGTCAACTTATGGTGGCCTAAGCCTTCCCTGAACACTTCAGCTGCTGGCACTTCGTCTTCATCCTCATTCCATATGCTTTCAACGGCTCCGTGTTCGTAAGTGTCCAGCCAACCCTGCAGCATGGGGCCTGTTTCCATCACAAGGCGCTCAACCACCTTGTTGTTGAAGCTCTGGTGCTGAGTGAACTCCACGCGCCAGCGAGCCATGTTCTCCCGCAAGCCTCTGTGGTAGCTCCATAACCCTTGCGGTTCGATTGATCCACCGATGATTTTTGCATACTCCTGATCTACGATGGATACAGCTTCGTTGAACGCCAAACGCCCATTGAGTTCCTTTACATGCTTGGCAGTCTCATAAAACTTGTCTCGCATTTTGCTTTCCTCAAGAGGTAGGACGCTCGCAATTGCTTTGACTCTGGATGGCACGGGCTGCAGAGTGTAATTCTCCACTTCCTCAGAACTATCCAACACCAGCAAGCCTAGGCCGCCCACTGACTTTGGCTGTCTGGCCCAATCAGCGGTTCGCCATCCCGACATTGCTTCAGCCAATCTGTTTGTCCGCAAACTGGCTTCTGTGATCGCATTTGCGGCGGCTTCATCGTAACCCCTTCGCAACAACTCCGTTCGAAAAATCGAACACAAGGGACACTGTTTCCAGCTCATCAAGCATCTGTGAACCTTGAGGTTCGCCGAAGACGAAGGACCCTAACCGTCTGGTTATGGGGTGTCGCCACGCAGATTCGTCCACAATCGACTTTTCAAACTCCGCCATCCCCACTTCAATTGAGGTCTTGGACGTGCTTAGAATTAGCCCACTTTCCGTCATCACTTTGTGGACCAGCAGCGCTTGCACCACCGTGTTCACCGCTGCGCCGGAATCATCTCCTTTTCCGAGAATCCAGGCTACTATTGCGCCTCCGACAATGTTGGCAGCCGAGTCAATTCCATTTTCGATGCTGACTTGCATCATGACAGTGTTTATCAACTGCGTCAAATCATCACCTGACAGAAGCGAGGAAATTTCGTCCGAAAACTCTTCTCCGGAGAACACCCGCTGGTTGAGGTGCAGTCTGACTGCATTGTACACCGCTTTTCGAAGACTAGCGATCATGTCAGGATCACTCAAATTGTCTAACAATGAATAAGCAGCTTCAACCACTGACCTCATGTCGCTCGCGGTGTGCTGCGACTCCCATGAATCAGCATCCGCATTGAGCCAAACCTTCTTCGCTGCGCATAAGCAAGAAACCAACCACCGCTGGCGCATCATGTGATGCTGGCCTTTGTTCACCTGAGAGTACTTGCTATGTTTCAGCAGCCCACGCATGGTTCGCTCCACATATGAGAATACATCGCTGGACAAAATGTCCACAGGATAAAGGCGTCGGTGAGGGATTCCCGGTTCGTCTTTTCCAAACGTTCGTGAGAGAACCTTGTCTCCTCCAGTCAACGTCATCCTGTAAAGCATGCGCTTTATCTTCTTCGTGCCTGCCACTTCCAAACCAGCGAACTTGGCTTTCACAGCGTTTGGGAGGGGCATGTCTCCAATGTTCAGGCTGGCGCCAGCTGAGCCTCCGGCACTGTCCGAAAGAGACGAGACGTCGTGTTCTGCCTCCGTTTTAACCACTGTTGTTTTCGCTTGGTGTATCAACTCTCTCAGCCTATCATCTCTGTAGCGCTCGAAGGCCGCGTAACTCCATGCGCCGCCTTCAAAGCGTTTCTTTTTTGTCTGAAAGTTGCGCCTGTCTTCCAATTCTTGCGCAAAAGTCTTCTTGTCGCCAAAATCTCCCCGACACGCAAGTGTATGCATGTAGAGAAACTTCACGACACTGTTTAGCTCCAGAGTTTCATCAGGCAGTCGCAAGCTGCGTCGCAATATTTTATGAAACCGAGAGGCGTAATCCACGTACGCGATGTCAGGCAAGAGGCCCAGCCCAGAATCAAGCACCTCTCGAGCCTGTCTGATCTCATCCGGGCTGAGGTTCATCAACCACATTGTCGTTGCAATATAGCGACCTTCACCCCAGCCGACCCTGTGAGCCATGTCTGTCGCCCACTGCAGATTGCGCGCCCGCATCAATGCATCCAGTTCTTGCATGTATGGTTCAGCTCTGATGCGCTGAAACATTCTCCGTTTCTTTGCACTGGTAGTGTTGAGTTCACCAGCAGATTCAACCGAAGGATGTCGGCGCAGGTAATCACCTATCTCAGCAGTCAAAGCTGCATATTGGCGCTGTGACCATTCACGCAGATTGGCGGCTGGCAGTGGGTACGCCGCCGCCAATTCATCAGTTGCCTGATCTCCCCTCAGGATAGAATCAATCTCATAGGGTTGCAGGCCTAAGAAATCAGCAGCTGTGCCATTGCTGAATTCGGGCCCATTCACTACTATATGCTCTGCGAAGCGCTTCATAGAGCAATCAATCTGCTTGAGCCAAAATGGCTACGGACAAAACCCTAAACCGTAACCCTAAACCCTAAATAAGATGTTTGGCTGAGGGTTTCGCGGCGGCCTGAGCATTCCTCCCCGCAAGTTCCAGCTACAGTACTATGCATTGAGATCGCGTGGCCTGTCCTGGACCAAGATGGAGAGGCAAGCCTCCTAAACCCTAAACCCAAAACCCTAAACCGTAAACCTTAACCCAAAAGACTCAAACCCCGCTATGTAACCTGCCCAGTCTAGGACTCGCTGAGGCGAACCACGGCGAAGCTTTTCTGTTCCGACCGCTTTGACATGGCGGCTGCAGCAGCAGCCTAAAAGTCTCCGCACTGCCAGGCCTGGTCTTTACGCACGCCTTTCCCCGCCCCTTTTGGGAGAAAAAAGTGGTGCAGCCCACGCCGGCACAAGTGCAGCCGCAACTGTGCCGCTTCGACTGGCTGAGTTGAGGACTAGCCGGTGTTGCCACTGATGGCTTGCTGCTCGGAACGAGCTCGAGCAACCCAAACCTTAAACCAAACCCCTTAAGCCGCTGTAAGAAGACTCAAAGGTCATGGAAGTATGTTGGAAAGTACTGGAGCTACAGAGATATGGTTTACGGCGTTTTCGGCTTGGATTCTCGGGCTTAAAGATTCTGATCAAACTTCGCATTTCCACTCTGGGGCTTAAGCTGGGGAAAAGTACTTCTCTAGCGTCTGCTTTGGAGGGCTCCGCAGCTTTTCTGATCTGGAAAGGGTCCGCTGCCGCCGATGTCAGACTCGATTTTTGCTTTGTCCAGCTCATGTCTGTCATGACCCACACACTAAGTCCTAAGTAACAAGACTCGAAAACTAGCTTTGATGGGGGGAGCATGTGCTCAAATACGATGCGCGTACTCTACGGTGATTGAAATTCTTGGGGTGCACGTCGACAGTGAAGGACGCAGACATGTTCAGGTTGCGGTTTTGTATTATCAGCGTGTAAGGCTTATTGCCGAAAGTTTAGGATGCGAACTTGTGAGCATTGCGGCATTTGTTTTCTTCCGCACTGGGCTTTCTGTGTGTGTGTGTGCCCCCAAAAAACTAAAGCTCAGCCTTTATGGATCCTAGATGCACCGGTTCGTCTTCCGGACAGCATGGGATGAGCTCAGCTACACATGCCTGCATTTCAGCAATGCAACCTGGTGAGCCTCTTGATTGAGAGTTCAGGGATGTTTGGGGTAGAGGGCGTGCGTAACACTGCAAACTCCCCAGAGAGACTCGGCTGCTGCATCGCTTCATGCGCAAGCACTGCAGGAAGTCCATCTCACACCCACCCCCGCCGGATTTCCGGTGCCAGCATGCAACACCCGCACGGCACAGCGCACCAAAATCCATGCACGACCAGATCCGGAAGCCGCTTCTCAAGCCCACAGCTGTGAAACCCCAAAAAAGGAAAACCGGGTAAACACACATGAAGCCTCACAGGCCTTACAGGCCTTCAAGACCCCTAAAATCCGAGCACTCTCAAGCCGCCAAATCTTGATCCCGCCTCTTCCTAGATCCGGGGAACTCCTCCCGATTCAGCCGGGATTCCTCCCTCAGGGACCCCCCCCCTTTTGCCCTGGCCGAAGCAACGACACTCTTATGGTTTAAACTGGTGTTTTGAGTCACAGGGTTCTGTAGCCCTGGCCTAAACCTGCGAATCACCCGCCCAACTTGGGGACAAAGGGGACTCAAGCTGACGCAAACCCCGGCAAATGTTCCGTCGGCTTCGACATAGTGGCTGCAGCGGCAGTCTGAAGCTCTGCACTGCCAGGCCTGGACTACGCACGCCTTTCCCCGCCCCTTTTGGGAGAAAAGAAGCGTGCAGCCCAGCCCTGTGCCGCTTCAACTTCCTGGGATGAGGTGCTAGGGCCCTAAACGCATAGTCCAGGTTGAACTACTTAAGACCTTGAACCCTGAAAGCCTCGACCCTGAACTTCCATGGCAAAGCTTTCGCTGACTCCATAACCCCTCGGAAGCCGCAGCTCCTAGCTCTTCATGTCCCAAAAAGGCAACCCGAAACCCAAAGCAAACCCTTCACCAAACTCTCTTAAAGCCACAACCAGACCAGAAACCCAGGCTGCCTTCAACTCCATAAAAAACTGTTCAAGGCTCTGAGAAGACAGAACCCTATAAGCCCTTCTAACCCGAATCCCAGGCTGCTTTAAAACCTCGAGGCCCCGGGAAGACAGAGGCTGGATCGGAGAGTCGCACGAAAGCGTCGGCCACCGGAGATAACTGCCGCCTTGCTTGGAAAGTAGGCTTATGGGAGTTTAGGATTCAGGGTGAGCCTTCAGGGTTTAGATTGTGGGGCTGAAGGTTTCAATTTCAAGATTATAGTTTGGTGCTTCTTCAGCTTGGGCTTGCGGGCACTTTTCGAGGGCTTGGGCAAGGCTGTTTATTGCAATTGAAGGCCGTCATCTCTACCGCCCCGCTGCCGCCAGCACCACCACTGCCACCACCCCGCCCCAACCACCCCACCCCAACCACCCCACCACCACCTCCAGCCATCACCATTGCCGATTCCCGACATCAACAACATCACCGCAACCAGCTGAGGGGGAGGGGGTTTGGGGGAGGGGGGCAGAGGGGGAGGGGGCGGGGGGGAGGGGGGAGGGAGAAGGGGGGGCAATGCAGGCAGCTGCTCCCACTTGTCACGTCCTACAGTTTTGAAGCTTGCGTTTGCCGGGGCAGAAAGAGCTTGGCAACAAAGCTGATCCGAAGACTCAGCTTTGGACCATCATCTCTGTCTTCTTGAGGATGTCATCGCTGTAGTGGCCCGTGAAGTCCACCACCACAGTGATGGTCGCAAAGAAGCCGATGATTCCGGCCGTGTCGAGGAGCACGTGCTCGTTGCTCTTTGCCAACAGAGCTTCACGTGCTACCAAAATCTTTGCAGCATTCCTCCAGGACAAGTCTGAAAGTCTGGACCCCATTGCTGGAGAGTTTAGGGAGCCTAAGTCAAAGGTTTATGAACGGGGACATAAAGATCCAGGGATGAATGATCTAAGGATTTAGGCTAAATCTAATCTATGCAGGGATTCTGACTTCAGCCTCACAACGCCCAAAACCCCAAACCAGCAACCAAAAAAACAAATCAGTACAAAAAACGCATAAAACTCTTTAGCACCTCCAAGTTGATACACGTTCGTAACATGCTGAGCGTAGCACCCATGCGCTTCAACAAGGAACAAACCTTAAATCATAGTACGAAGCCCCACATTCACATGATTCAATTGTTGTGTAAACTCTGCGAAAAAAGAACACTTGTTAAACCCCTAGAAACTCATGAATTCCTACAAAAGTGCTTCTAATTTCACTACATATATAAAATAGTGTAGAAGTCCTTTGTTGAAAAAGCGCATTAATTACCCAAAAAACAAAACTGTCAAAAAGCAAGCGGAGATGCTCCGGGGAAGCCACTGCGTGTGCTAGAGCCGCAATCTCTTGGTGCAGGGGATGCTGGCCGCCGCCCAGCAGTGCCGTTTCAGATACCGCCAGCCTTAAGGAAGTTCGGGGTCTTACGTGTTTGGGATGAGCACCCCTGCTTGATAACCCGGCTTTCCTCAAGAGCTTTCTTGTTAGGATCCCAATCATTCTTCCCCCCTAAACACTAAACCCAAAACCCTCAAAGCCTTATCAACATTAGGGATTAAAAGAGTAGGGCTTCACGGTTCTCCACCGCGGGCCTCAGGTAAGTTCGGGCATTTCTAGGGTCTCAGACTTGAAACCTTAGAAGGTTGATCTGGGCTTAGGATAGAAGGTGGGGGTACTTGAATGCCATAGCCTACAAGCTTCAGGTGTAGATTTCCGGGTGCGAAGTTTGGGATTTACGTTATTGGCAATGCGAGACCCGGTACTGGTAACACGCAGATAGCAGTGGAACTGCTCAGACAGTTAGAAGACGAAGTTTACGGGACACACACACACACACAGAGGCCCAGCAAAAAGTTTCAACCTTTACAGAATCGACACAGACATCGGCAACAGTAGCAGGCAGCAGCGGTGCAACACAGCTTGGGCATCCTTTGGTTAAGAATCGAAACCCTAAAACCTAAAACCCCATGTAAGCCCCAACGCCTCCCTTTCTTCCTACCTACCGAAACCTGGCGAGGCCAGGTAGCATGCTGACGTGAGAGTCGGATCAGAAAGTGCAGGCCTTGCCAGTGGTGTAGTCAGCTGCAGCCACCTCGAGCTGGCCGCGGTTCAAGGTCCGATCTTCGCCCGGGACTTTCATAAACCTGGCACTTTCCGAAAATTAGGGGTACCTTCTTTTGGGGTCCTTATAATCAGGATCCTACTATTTAGGGTACTATACTAGGGTCCCCTATTTTCGGAAACCCCCCACCTTGGGATATCTCCGACTGGCGCGTACATGACGTCCATGTACCTCAGAGAGGGTCGGGTCAGGCCTGCCGCCTGGATCTCTAGATTCAAAAAAAAATTAAGGGGCCCTAATGTAAACCCAGGCGTGGTAGGGTCCTAGTTGCGTAAAGACCTGTAGGGAGGATCTTCGATTTCGGACGCGTGAGCTAACTCAACGAACAGACTTAACTCCAGCGCAAGAGGCTTCAGAAGCTCCCAGCATGTGAGTGGTGCTGCGCTGGCCTGGCAAAAATCTCATGGCGTTCAAGCAATGCGATGATGATGATGAAGATCATGATCATGATCATGATGATGACGATGATGCTGATGGTGATGGTGATGATAACGACGAGAATGAGGATGATGATGGTGATGATGATGGTGATGAAGGTGATGATGATAGTCATGGATGATAATGATAATGTAGATGATTATGTATGCATGTATGTATGTATGTATGCATGCATGTATGCATTATGTACGTACGTGCGTGTTTCTGCATGTACGTATATGTGTGTACATGAAAACATATATATATACACACACACATCTATATGTACATGTATATATGATACAGACAACGATAGAGAGACAGAGAGAGACGAGAGAGACAGAGAGAAAGAGAGAGACAGAGAGAGACAGAGAAAGACAGAGAAAGAGAGAGAGAGAGAGAGAGAGAGAGAGAGAGCGAGAGCGAGCGAGCGAGCGAGACGGAGACAGAGACGGAAACGGAGACAGAGACAGGGAGAGAGACGGAGAGACAGAGCGACAAAGAGGCCTACCAATCCGTGGATCGATAGGTGGATAGATAGATGAGTAGAAGGACAGGAAGATAGACGGGCAGATAGATGGATGGATGGATGGATGGATGGATAGGTAGATAGATAAGTAGGTGGGGGTAGATTGATAGATAGAATGCGTGGATAGACTGATCGGTGGATAGCTGCATAGATGGATAGGTAAACAACTATCGACGGACAGATAGACGGACAGGCAGATAGATGGATAAAGTGATAGACAGATGGATAGATAGACGGATTCACGGATAGATGGAAAGATTGATAGATGGAAAGCTGCACAGCTGGATACAGGGATAGGTAGATGGAAATGTCGACAGATACAGAGACAGAAACAAACATAGGTAGCTAGCTAGCGAGCGAGAAAGAAAGAAAGAAAGAAAGAAAGAGATAGAGAGATAGAGAGATAGAGAGATAGAGAGATAGAGAGATAGAGAGATAGAGAGATACAGAGACAGAGAGAGGCAGAGTTAGAGAGATAGAAGAGATAGAAGGGCAGATAGATAGATAGATAGATAGGCAGGCAAATAGATAGACAGATAGACAGATAGACAGACGGACAGATAGACAGATAGACAGATAGATAGATGATAGAGAGGAAGGCTGATCGATACAAACGTGGATAGGTAGATGGATTGATAGCTGCGTCGATGGATAGATTGATACATGGAAAGACCGACAGATGAATATATAAATAGAGAGATGAAATGATGGATCGATTGATTGATTGTTTGATTGATTGATTGACTAATTGGTTGGTTGATCGATTGGTTGGTTGATTGATTGATCGATTGAAAGAATGGTTGATTGGTGCATTGGTTGATAGCTACCTAACCCGCGATATATCTGAACAGCAGTACACCCACCTTTCCGCAATGCACAACCTATCAGCATGCATATTGCATGTACAGCACGTGCATGTACACTTGCCATGGTTCTTCCAGCAATCGTTCCTTGCAGGAAACACTGCCAGTTCTCGGTCCGTTCAGGCTTCGAGACCGGATGGGGGGTCCGGGTTGAAGGTTTCCTGCAACCGTAACAAGTATAAAACTACTACGTAACCGTAAACTAAACCATACCCTCAAAACTAAACCGTAAACCCTAAACCCTCAAAACTAAACCGTAAACCCTAAACCCTCAAAACTAAACCGTAAAGCCCTAAACCCGAAACCGTGGGTTTTTTTTCGAATTCCCCGAGCCCTCCACCCTCAAACGTCGCCGGCCTTCGAGGTGGGCCCCATGGGAAGGTCGCCGGAGAAAAGCCAGAGAGACCTGGAACGGTTGGTTAATCGGTTTAGGGTTTAGGGGTTAGGCTTTAGGCTTTAGGGTTTAGGGTTTGGGGTTAGGGTTTAGGGTTGGTCAGTCAATCTACTACAGGGGCCTGAAGAAAGTTCGAATCGGGCTGAGGGGGTGTATTATACTACGGCTTATTACAAGAATTAGAGTAGGGTTTTGGGGGGTATAGCATGCTGGCTGGTATGTACTATACTTCTTGTAGGAAACTCTAAGGCACAGCAGTCTTGGTAATTCTTTGAGCCTTTTGAAAAGAGTACTAAGTACGATTTGGGGGGGGGGGAACTAACAAAGTTTGGGGGCCTACTGGCTTGAAGGTTTTGGGTTGAAAGGGTTTTTTTCTGGGTTCAGGGTTCGGGGCTTAGGGTCTATAGGGTTTGGGGTTCAGGGTTTGGAAGCTCCCACCGAATCGCTCCGAAGAGTTGCTTTTTGGCTTCTTCCGTGAGAGCGTCCGGGTTGATGCTATGGCTGTTCGGCTACAGGCTCCCCAGACCACTACAACATGCTATACGATGAAATAATGTGCTATGATATGCTACAACATGCGATAATATGCTATAACACAACGTGGTCTAATATCTAATCTAGCAGGCCCACAGGCTAATCCACAATCCGATACCTTGCGGTGCTACATCATCACGGTAGCATACCATGACATCCAGACATTGAAACTCCTTTTAGACGCCCTTCTTAGGTGCCTGGGAGACTTCCCAAGTAACGAAGACAAGTACCTCTAAAATTGGGGTATCCAAAGTTGTCACAGCTACTTGCAGACTGCTTGTTTCACTCCGGCCTCGGGTTTAGGACTTTGGGTGTCCATGGCCCTGAACCTGAACAGACAGACTTCGCAGCTCCGGCTGGAACGACCCTGTGAGGTCCTGAAGCTCCCAACGCTTAAGTGCTCATGCTGTTGGGCTTCACAGCTCGGGTTAAGGGCTTCGTGTTCAGGGCTTAGGGCTTAGGGTTTTGGCCTTTGAAAAGGCCTTCGGCCCCTCATCTCCGAAAGCCTAAGCCTGAAGACCCCAACTTAGCTTGAAAAAGCTTACGCCCTTGTAGCCGTTGTCGGGTCCGTCACGAACCCATCTGGCATATAACCTTTTGATCACCAACCCCAAACAACAAAATGCACTAATGCCTTTAACCTCTTTAGATCTAGACTTCAACAAAAAAGACCTAAGCCCCACACATTAAATGCCCTGATGCTTTAAACCCCGCTTCTTCATGCCTGTACAGGACCCCTTTATACACCTCCACGAAACCAAAACAAAATCTTGATAACCCCCACCCCCCC